GCGGGCCGCTCTTCCCCGGCTCCCGTCCCCCCCCCCCCCCCCCCCCCCCCCGGTTGGTCAGCTGACCGTGGGCCGGTCTGGTGACTGTCAAACCCCTGATTCTCGCAACGTGACCCGGACAACCAGCACCAGGCCGAGACGGGTCTCTGTGTCCCCGTTACCGGAGCTGCTGACCTGGTAAAAACTAGCTCCTAACCCCGGTCTTCAGCTGGAGGCCCGGATCATTAGCTTAGCTTAAGCTAGCCGAGCTCGTCGCTCACAGAGCCGCGGACCCACCACAACACACTCCCCCGGTTGGTCCCACTCCAAGGCCGGTCAGCCGGTCGTTTCTACCCGGAGTCTTTGTGTCCTCCAGCCGGCAGCCATGGCTCTGTTGGACCTCGCCATGCAGGGACTCTCCGTGTTCGGCTTCATCCTGTTCTTCGTGCTGTGGCTGATGCACTTCATGTCCATCATCTATGTGTAAGTCAACCTGCTCAAGCTAAGCTAACCTTAGCTAGCTAACGGTTAGTCAACCTGCTCAAGCTAAGCTAACCTTTAGCTAGCTAACGGTTATAGCCGAGCGACGCTCCTGTTTCCTGTCTTTCTTTCTGATGTGTTTCTTTTCTTTTTAACGTCTTTGTGACCTTTTGAAAACATGAAGAATGAAACAAATGGACGTTTCTCTGCGGGGCTCTGGGTGTGTTGACAGCGGATCTGATCGGTGATTTGTTGGGCGTTTTCCTGGTTAACCGCTAGCTATAGGATCCGTGTTCTCTCCAGGAAACAAATACATGAACTCATTCATTTTAAATGATGCCGTTTATTTTAGATGAAACGTGTTTTATTCCTCCCACAGATCACAGGTGTAGCTCGGTTCCGTTAAGGGTTCGGCGGCGTTAGACGTATGAATTTCCTGGTTTCTTCTGTTGACGCAGAGTTGCACCTGAAACAGTCGAGATTTCATCTGGTTTTGCTCTGCGCACGTTTACGCGCAGTCATAAATAAACTAAGTGTGTCTGGAGGTGTTGAGAGTCGCTCTACAGTTCGGCTTTAATCAGCTCAACGTAGTTCCTTTAATCCCGCTTTAATGAACCTCAGGCTCATTCCTCCGCTTCCTCCAGCGTTAGCTGTAAAACAAAACCTGCAAAGACACCAACATCACTTTGGTTGTATAAACTAAAATAATGCTTTCAGTAATCAGGATTACACTTTTTGCATTCGTTAAACAGCACAATAATCATTCATTTTCACAAATGCATATTATTTCCACCTCTTGTGTTTTTCTCCGTGTGACAGATCTGCTGATGTAGTTTATACCCGTTTACATTGTAAAGAATACTGTGGTACTGATCTTTTATACTGTGGTACTGATCTTTTATACTGTGGTACTCATCCTTTATACTGTGGTACTGATCTTTTATACTGTGGTACTCATCCTTTATACTGTGGTACTCATCCTTTATACTGTGGTACTCATCCTTTATACTGTGGTACTCATCCTTTATACTGTGGTACTCATCCTTTATACTGTGGCGGTACTGATCCTTGTTTTAGTCCTTTTAACATGCTGATGATCTCACAAATATGATAACAATCTATACGTGAAAACTTTGTTAATCTCTCGACGGGGAACTGGATTAAAAATATCAGTTTAGAAAGAAAACGGCGACATGTTTGTTGTGTCTGTGGTTCAGTTGCTGCTGATTAGGAGCCGGCACTTCAAAAGGATCTAACAGGATTATAAATGGATTTAATTCTGATCAGATCTGAAAATTAAGTATTTCAAAACCGATCCAAATATTTGTGATCCTAAATATTTGGATTCAGTAAACCTGTCCTGGCTTTTTAATCCGGACTCAATGCTGCATTCTGGTATTTTAAACTGTTGGTATTTTAAACAGTCCACAGAGGCTTTGATTCAGACAAAGAGTCCAATTAGGGAACCACCTGCCTCTTTGTAATAGGGACCGGTCCTTTCTGATAATGATGTGCCTCGTGACTTCTAATGGGACGTCGTAAACGTTGAAAAAGAATGAGGAAGTGAGTGTTGAGGGTCTGAGGTTAGTTTATCTTCATCACAGTCAGTAGCCACAGAAATATCATTTTGTTATCGATGCAAAAACAGGATCATCATCCCTGACAGCTCTGTAGTTTACTGGAACTCAACCCCCACACTGTTCACTTCTTAATAAACTGCATGATTCATTCTGTCACAACTCCAAAGTATTGGAGCCATCTGAACACGTGTTGAGAGTTTGCTGTGTCTGCGGGCACATGATAACGTTGGCTAACTAGCTCTGTGTCTCCGTCACTTTCAGGCGTCTCCATCTGCACAAGAAAAGGTCGGAGGTCAAACAGCCGTTTGGGCAGCTGGCAGGAGTTTCTTTGCTCAAGCCGCTGAAGGGAGTCGACCCAAACCTGATCTCCAACCTGGAGACATTTTTTACACTGGATTACCCCAAGGTGAAGCTAGCTACCCCCCACCCAGGTCATAACATCTCCCTACCATCTTAACCGACCCTGAATACCACTCCACTCCTTCCGCCTACCGTCCCACTGCCCCGCCTACCGTCCGCCTACCGTCCGCCTACCGTCTCACTGCCCCGCCTACCATCCCACTGCTCCGCCTACTGTCCCACTGCCCCGCCTACTGTCCCACTGCCCCGTCTACCGTCCGACTATTGTCTGACTACCGTCCCACTGCCCCGCCTACCGTCCGCCTACCATCCCACTGCCCCGCCTACCGTACGACTACCGTCCCACTGCTCTGACTACCGTTCGAATGCCCAGACTACCGTCCGACTTCTCCCACTACCGTCCGACTTCCTTGAGTACAAACCAGTTTGCCCAGCTAAAGTGTGACTGCCACTGCACTATAATTTCCCAAACAACCATCTGATTGCCCGAAGCTACAAACTAACTAACCTGATCTGTTTCCAGGCAGGGATTTCTGCACTAATTTCAACGTTTGTTTGCAGTATGAGATCCTGCTGTGCGTTCAGGATCAAGATGATCCAGCCGTTGACGTTTGTAAAAAGTTGTTGGGCAAATATCCCAACGTAGATGCTCGATTATTCATTGGTGAGAAAAGACTTCTGTTTGTTCTGTCATTCAACATACTGTGTTCATCTTATCACGTGGTGGTTATGTTCTTTTGTAGTAACTGACTTTATCCTCACTTTTTTTAAGCCCTTCATTAGCAGACAACGTTAGCATGTGTTGTTGTTTTGTTGTCAGGGGGGAAGAAAGTTGGAATCAACCCCAAGATCAACAACCTGATGCCGGGCTATGAAGGAGCCAAATACGGCCTGGTCTGGATCTGTGACAGCGGCATCAGAGGTCCGTAAAGTTACAGTTTAGTTTTTCACTAACGTACAAGCTTCAGACTTGTTCATCATAATGCTAACTGTGTGTGTGTGTGTGTGTGGCAGTGAAACCTGACACCCTGACAGATATGACCAATCAGATGACAGAGAAGGTGGGATTGGTCCATGGGTTACCGTATGTTGCCGACCGGCAAGGATTTGCCGGCACACTGGAGCAGGTAAGGCTAACAAGCTAGGAAGCTAATGTCAGACCGATGGTAATGTTTTAAACTGTGTTTAAATGCTACTTAGCATGAGCTATCTCTTGTTGCTGTTATAGATATACTTTTGAATGACTTTTTACATGCTGGTATCTTTTATGTTCACTAACTGTTGGACGCTAACACACGATGTGGATTCTGTTCAGATTTCTCTTACTAAATACAACCAATGCTTTCGTTTGTTTTACCTTCATCATCTTCTTGATAAACTTTATGCTGGTGGTGTTTCTCAACAGGCATTACTTTGGTTTAATTCAGTGTGTTTCTTTTCATCAAAATCAATCTGCTTATTTAAATGTTGTCCCACAAAGATCTACTTTAGGACCTTTTACTTTTCTCTATTTATATTAATGATCCTCCAAAACATTTTCTCCGTTATATGCAGATGACACGATTATATACGCGCCTTATTCCGATATATCTAAACTTCAGAGTGCTCAGAATCAGAATGTGTTCTTGTTCTCTTTGACATAATGTTGTTTCATGTTATGTTGGTCGTGGCTTTGTGTTGTTAAATTGTTACATTTATAATCATAATTATTATTTTGATGCTTAAATTTGTTTGAGGACTCGTTTGATTTCATCCTCTAACAAACAGAATAAACAGAAACAACTGTTTCCTCGTTTCTGTTGTGGTCTTTATTTTGTTGGTGCTAATAGATGCTAATGCTAACCTGTTGCCCAGGTATATTTTGGGACTTCCCACCCTCGCTCCTACATCTCTGCTAATGTGACGGGGATAAAGTGCGTGACGGGGATGTCGTGTCTGATGAGGAAGGACGTGTTAGATCAAGCCGGCGGATTGGTCGCCTTCGCTCAGTACATCGCCGAGGATTACTTCATGGCTAAAGCCATCGCTGACAGGTTAGCACGTTAGTGCCGGTTGAGTTAAGTGTTTTTATTGATGAGCAAATTAAGTGATTATTTTTTTTTTTTGTACTCTCCCTCCTCAGAGGCTGGAAGTTCTCCATGGCAACACAGGTGGCGCTGCAGAACTCTGGATCGTACTCGATTGGCCAGTTCCAGTCACGAATGATCAGGTGACCTCAGAGCTCCTCCGCTTTCCTGTTATACTATATATTCCTGACATGTTTTCAGATGATGATGTTTTATGTGATTATTTCTCTACAACTTCATTTAGAAAAATGTTTCAGGATATTTTACTTTCTTGTAAGATGACTGTTAATGATTCAAAGAGGTGACTAAATGTATTATTTTTAATATATCTTCTGCTAGATGTGGTTCTTTAAGCTGTGCTTCTAAAGGCCATTCTTTGAGAGTCAATAAAGTTGTGTTTTGTGTCTCCAGGTGGACGAAGTTGAGGGTCAACATGCTTCCTGGCACCGTGCTGGAGCCCGTCTCCGAGTGTTTCCTGGCGAGCCTCATCATTGGCTGGGCTGCTCATTATGTGTTCAGGTACTCCGCCAATCAG